TGAAGACCCTTAAGAATCTTATAGGTTTCTATAAGATCACCTCTAATTCTTCTATATTCTAGAGAATATAGGCCTAGTCTACTCAACCTCTCCTCGTAGGTCAACCTTCTCATCCCAGGAACCAACCTAGTGAACCTACATTGCACCCCCTCTAAGGCGAGTATATCCTTTCTTAGATAAGGAGACCAAAACTGCACACAATATTCCAGGTATGGTCTCACCAATGCCCTATACAACTGTAGCGAGAGTTCCCTACTCTTGTACTCTAACCACTTTGCAATAAACGCCAGCATTCTATTAGCCTTCCTAATTGATTGCTGTACCTGCATACTAACGTTCTGTGATTGGTGCACAAGGACACCTAAATCCCTCTGAATACTAACACTATCATTTCTCTCCCCCTCTAGAAAATAATCAGCTTTTCTATTTTTTCTAGCTAGGTGAATAACTTCACACTTCCCCACATGATACTCCCTCCATCTGCCACCTTCTTGCCCACTCACTTAGCCTGTTTATATTCCTTTGCATCCTCCTCGTGTCCTCCTCACAACTTACTTTCTCACCTAGCTTTGTATCGTCAGCGAATACAATACAATTTACATAAATATAGCGCTTTCCATTTCAAGAAGACATTGCAAACCACTTGACCCTCCTGGGCGGCATCTGAGCAGGGGTTGGTAGCTGAAAAGTGTGGGAAGGGGAATGATAATACTAAACCTTGTGCTTGATACAGCACCTTAGCACATTGGCTAATTAATAAATAAATAATAATAAAGATAAATAAACAACTAACTAACTAACTAACTAACCAAATTGGCTGGCATGTTCGCCCACAAATATACAGTCAATTCACTTTACAGTGTGTTCTGTGAAGCACTTTGGGACGTCCTCCCGACATGAAAAGCACTATATCAAATGCAAGGATTATTATATTATTATTATTATTATTGTTTAGACGTCTCAAAGTGCTTCACAGAATACATTGTAAAGTGAATTGTCTGTGTATTTTGTGCACCAAACGGAGCAGCAAATTGCGCACAGCAGTGTCCCACAAACGGTCGTAATTTGAGTGACCAAGTTTTGATTTATTTTAAAAGGGATTATCATTTGTTGACCAAAAGCACAGTCAAGTCCTGTATTCTTATTAAAGCCTCCAATAAAAAAAATATGTGTACCAGCTGTGCTAAACACCTCTTCATGTGGTTGCTATGATCGGCCGGTTTTATTCTACACTCTAACAATGTTTCGTTTGAAACATTTAAAAGCAGTGCTGATTTACATTTTAAATGTTTAAAGTGATGGAGATTCCCTAACAAACATAAACATGCTACATGTTGGCATAAACATGCTACATGTTGGCATAAACATGCTACATTCTACTATACTGTACATTCTACTAAAAAACTAAAAATTGGTCTCTGTGGGATACTGCCGTGTGCAATTGGTTGCCATATTTCGCCCACAGAATAAACAGTCAATTCGCTTTATAGTATATTCTGTGAAGCGCTTTGAGACGTCTCAAGACTTGATAAGGCTCTATATCAAATGCAAGGAATATTATTATAGAAGGAACTGACATGGTGGAGTGTGGGATATGTATTCCATTAAGTGAAGCTTTATTTTCAGCCATCAAGCATAACCATCCGTTTCTTCGACAAATGTTAGTTCAGTGTAAAGTGAGGTACAGGTAAAGTGACTATTTACAGGGCAGGTTAAATAACTCTGTGCCGCAGTTTTGAGTAGTTATTTAACTTTGGAGACCTCTTCCCCCTTGTGTGGTCAGTGGATAATAGGAGCTCATTACTAACTAGGCAGGAACTCACTAACTAGGCAGTCAGATGACCCCTCATATGCCAGGTTATGATTTGCTACGCTTTCTTCTTACTTGCTGGAGCTTTCAAGGGAACATTTATGTCTCTCAGAAATCTGGAGTATTTCAGTTTAAATGTATAAATACCCCCAAATCTCCAAACTGACATTAACTTTTCAACGTGTGTCATCTGTAATCTCAACCCCATAAGGCTCAAAATTCCACCTAGTCTCTGCCTGTAAGAACATTTTATCTTAACAATTGCGGTCTTGATTTGGAAAATTATTTCTTTTAATAATCTGAGTCTGAATTTTCTACAACTCAGTCTCTATCCAAATCTCAAGTCAAAATGCTTTTATGGCTATGACTGGGTAGAATTTCGAGCCTACAATACACGTAGATTTGAGAATTAACCTGCATGTTTAAGAGAAGAATTGAAAGCAACAAACCTAACACTGTAATGATCAAGTCGAATAGAACTCTTTGACATTCAATATGCTGTGCTGTAAGTATAAGATTAAAGTTTGTACACCAGAGATGAGAATTCAGGACTCTATTTTGGGAGATTGCTTGCCAAACAATATTAGTGTGAATATCAAGCTTTCCACTATAAAGGTCCCTCTGTATTTGAAATCTTCACACCAGCAAATCTCATGAACTTTCCAAGTGAACTTGCCAGTCTAGTAATAATTGGTGCCAATTTTTTTCAGGCAGACTTTGCCCATTAAAAAATGGGTTGAAATGACCTAGACTGATTTCCATTACGATTCATGCGATTATAGAAGACATGAGACTTTCATCTTGTTCATTCCGGGATGAATTGAAGCCCTGGCCAAATAACTGAGACGATGCTATTCTGACCCCCTGTTCCACCTCGCTCTCATACAGGTTTTTTGTTCTTGTTACTTTTCTTTTCCGATTTTCTCCCCTCTCTGCTTTTCATGAGTGTTTGATTAATCTGGCTTCGAATGAGCTCCAGTTTCGATTAACACCAGTCACCTTTCAGTAGCTTATATAACTGGCCATTATTGACGTATGAGTGTTAATCATGAGTATCGGCAGACTTTTTGAACATACAGAGCTTTGCAGCTAACCTCAAGCTTGTCCACATCCAATGCATCCGGGGCCATAGGTACATAGGAAAATTGAAACAGGAGGCTGAAACAGAAACAGCCCATCGAGCCTGTTCCACCAGTTAATTAGATCTTGGCAAGTCTTTTATACCCAATGCCCTCCCTTTCACCAAACCCCTTACTAGTTTGTTTACCCATGTACCTGTCCTTTCACAGTTTTGAGTCGCAAAGGAAATTATGGGGCAGATACCAGGAAGTTTTTCTTCACTCAGAGGGTAATCAGTGGTGGGAGTACGGTTGTGATAAGATGGGCCAAAGGGCTTTTTTCATCTGATTTTGTAAATCTGAACATGGTTAGTTGGATCCATGATAAAACAGCACTTTTGAGATTTAGAAATATCATTATGTATCTCATACTATGAATTCTATTAAGAAATACTGCAAATTAAATACTTTGGTCATTCACTTCAAGTGTGTTTGTGGGACATTACTGTGATCAAATTGTCATGTTTTGACCACAAATACACAGTCACTACATTACAGTATGCCCTGTGAAGGGCTTTGAGATGTCCTCCTGACATGAAATGCGCTACCAAATATATAATTTCACTAAAAAAATAAAATAAAAAACTGCATTGATATACGCTTCACTCGGAAGCCAAACGCTCACAGAAACATGTAATGAATGACTGTATTTGTGCGACCGGCACCATTGCCACAGCAATGTCCACAAACAGTCGTAGATTAAATGACATTTATTTTTTTTTATTTTGAGATTATTATTATCTGTGGATAGAACTTGCCAAGTCGCCTTGCTGGAATTGAACTAGTCTCACTTGCAAAGCGAGTCTCTAACATGAGTACAGGATAATCTGAAATCACTTCATAGGAATAATGTGAAGTGTATTTTGTAGTCAAAAGAATTGTTTAAAAGGGTATTAGAAAGGCACCAAAAGAGTAAACGATATAAGAACATAAGAAATACTAGACAAAAAAAAGAAACAAGATCCATCTAGTTCTCCTTCCACCTTCCTGGCGGTCGTATGCACATATGCCCCAAATTACCTGTGCACTATATCCCATAATGTTATTTCCTAAAAGACTATCTAATCTGTGTTTGAAAAAATCAATACTTCCTGCTTCAACCATCTCCCTAGAGAGCCTGTTCCACAGGTTCACTATTCGTTCACTGAAGTAGTGTTTGTGAGGATTTGTTCTGAATTTATCCCCCTTCAATCGCAAGCCATGTCCTCTGGTTCTACTATGCTGGACAAGTTGAAACAGTCTGTCATATATATGATATATATTGTCTTGCCCCTTTAGAATCTTAAAGACAACAATCATATTACCTCTCAATCTTCTTTTCCAGTGCCCAATTTATAGAATATTAGAGCTGTTAAATGGGATTAATAATAAAGTATGCCATAGATTCACAGGAGCAATGGCACAGGCATGACAAGCTGAATTGCTCTTTCTACTTCAAATACCTCTGTTTCTCCTGGTGACCTGGCTGACAATTCTCCAGATAAAATTGCTCATTCAAATCATAGCTATTTGTCGGGCATTGCTTTGTGAAAATTGGCTGCCATGGTTTGCTTACAAAATACACAATCACTACACTTGACAGTAAATCCTGTGAAGTGCTTAGAGACGATTTGATGATGTGATACGGTGCTATGTGAATTGCAAGGGTTATTATTATTAAAACATGCTCAGGTTGTTTCAAAGACATCAAGGGTGACATTGATCAGTCTAAAAGAGCATTTACTAGGAGCGATGTGCTGCTACCCAATGGGCATTAACACCAATGTTAAGTAGCTTGAGATCGCTTACAAATAAATCACAAACTTTGCCCCTTTATTTTATAAAACACAACAAAGCAGGAACAGGTAAGATCAAGAGAGGTATCAGCTCCTGAGTACATGACCCGGGAGTGTGGAGCTAATTAACAGAGACATCGCTCAGTAGTAAACAAAATACAAATACATCTCTCGCTCTACTGAAACATACTATTTTGATTTATTCCCATCTCTTCTCTCTCCCCACCCCATGGCCTGTGGAGAAAACAATGTCAGAGAGCTGAAAGTGATATGAAAATTCTCCCTCTTGTTTTGAAGGCAAATTCCGCGAAGAATTCAAAGCTGCCTTTTCCTGCTCGTTCGGGACAGGCCAGCAGAGGGAAGAGGGACTCAGGAGAGGCCGGGCCAGCACTGAGAGCCGCAAGTCGCTGACCACACAGATCTGCCACCTTGACAATCCTTCTAAAATCTCCGAGCAAGTTGTGCTCACGAGTCTAAACACCTTGCAGGGTAGCCATCTCGCTTCAAACCGGAACTGGTGACATGTCGCACATATAGTTTGTCGACTGTGTTTGCAAAATCCACAGGGAGAAGTCGTGTTGTTTTACATCCTTTTTTATTCGCCAAGAGAAGTGAGTTTTGCCCAGCATCCTGGCAAGTAATCCCACAGATTAGTGATGTTTCACCTCATCAGCTGTTTGTCGGACCTTGCTGGTACTAACAGCTGCCGCTTTTGCCTGCGAGAACCAGTCTCTATACTTGGCAGTAATAACTCATGATGAAGCACTGTAAAACATGCAACTCGTTTCTTTTAACTTGTTCAACAATTATTGTCTGCGAAAGCACACTTTATCATGTCCGTGCACATTGCAAGAACTTGCCTGACTTTAACACTGAATTTACAATTGCATTTTATAGGATGACAAATTGACTGTCAAGAATATAATAAATCTGCATAATTAGTAATAGACCATTCACAGACTTTGTAAATGGAAATGTTTTATTAAACCTGCCAACTCAACAGTGGAGAATGACACTTCTAGCTTTAGCGTTACTGTACTGTGGATACATATTGAATTGAATTGAGTGCTTTGTACCATTTAAAAGCACTCAAGCGCAAAACATTTACTTGCTAAGAAAACAATGTTCAATGCTTGCAGATTTGTATGTTTATATCCATTTCTCAACCTCCGATGTAGCATGTAGCATGGCATAAACCATATAGCTTCAGGGCTGTGGGACAAGTGAGAGTTTGATTTCTTAGTGGTTGATCTATTATTCTAATCTAATAGCACAGCTGTTTGCGGGGCTGCTGTGATTTCCTCCTTCAAAAACAGTCAAAGGTTTTTTTTTGGTCAGCCGGGTGTCTGACACATGTGGAAACCCATCACTATGCTCAAAGTATCCAAACCAAACTGAGAATTCCACGCATCCCACCTACACATGGATATTCACGAGATATTTATTGGAATGGAATGCACCCTCTCTCCCTGGAGGGACGCATCTTGCTTACTAATTCCGGAAACTATTAGGCGCAGGTTGACAAGAGCCAAGGTTTGGGCACCCCAGAGTGTATTGGGGGTACTGCTGGAGTCTAACCAACTAATACCACTTAGCTTGCCAGTGATATCACTCTCCGGCAAGTTTCCCCACTGCTTGTCCAGCAAGAACCACCCTACTCATTAGCTTTAGCTTGCAGGGTTAACAGGATCTGAATGGGAAGAATCCTTACCTCCAGCATCTGGTCTGCCCTTCCAGGTCCTACTGATGAGCCAGACCAGTTGTACTGTTGTCAGCAGTGCCCTGGAATACTGCAGATCTACCTGGCTTAGGAACTGGACTAGCAAGACTGCCACAGAGGGTTGGCGCAATTCTGACAGTCTGCTGCCAAACATGTCATATTAGAGTCAATTCAGCTCCAAGGGGAGCCCACCTACCTGCCCCCCCCTCAAGAAGGACAATCATTAGTTGGTCATTTGACATCTGACAAGCTTGGGTATGAGCCCTCACTAGGTGAATGCCAGATACCAGGAACGGTCTTGAACTTCCTGGTGGGCAACATCGCTCAGCATGAAATGCGTGAAAGGATTGCCCGCAACATCCTGTCCACAGCTCGGGTACACCTCCCTTCCCATTGAGTGATGGTTCCACAAATTTGAGGTGTGGATTTTCAGTAGCAACTACTTATTTCTCTGCAAACCAATCAAGGTGGACTGCAAGGCTGGGTGTACGATGTGTGTTCACAAACTCGGACTCCAGGTAAACCCTTCCAGCAATCTGATGGATATCTGCCTTCAGTGTGGTGGGAGGACCTATACAGGACAGTTTGTGATGTATCAGACATGATGTTTTGAGGTCCAAGTCCAATGCCATGTTCCAGACTTATTCAGCACCAGCTGCTTAATCCAGGTCCTCATATGAGAGGTTTCGGCAAATAAATATGCCCGCTGTGAAGTCAACACTGTCTCCAGGGTGTTCAGTGACAGGCCAGTGTAGGCTAGAGCACTCCCTCGCTGTAGCCACTTCATATGTTTTCCACAAATCCACCTCACCTCTTGGCCCTGGACTTTGCCTCCCCATTGCATCCCCAGGAGCTCAGAATCGTAAAGCAGAATCAATCATTAGACTGATAGTAATTACGTTGGAGTTTTTCAGATCTATTGGCATGAAAAAGCACTTTAAAAATGCAAAATTATTTGCACTGAGCATTGAATTTCTATCAACCCCAACAAGCTTAGTCAGCTATGTGAAGCACTTTGAGAGATCCTCCCAACTTGAAAGATGCTTCATAAATATAAAATGTTGCTGTTATTGAACTAGTATCTGGAGCCATAGAGTTAAGGTATTTACCAAAAGGGTGAGGAGAGTATCTTTTTACAGAGTGTTGTTGGGAGATAGAGTGTCTTATTGAGAACCATGGTTCAGACATGACTCATTTTAGCTTTTTTTGAGGTAATTCAATAAATATCTTTAAAGGAGACATATAGAAAGGTTTGGTGGCTAAGTTTTTTTTAATAAAAGAGACTAAGTGGGAGCCAGCACAGGCACGATCGTCCGAATGGCCTCCTCCTGCATTGTGCAGTTCTAAAATTGTGCATTCTTATTAATACTATGTAAATAAGATCAGGTTCCTTGAATGTTAGTCCTTCTAGTAATATGCAAACATTTTGTTATTGTTATTAAGTTGTGCGTTTTAACATCCCATGTCCTCTGGGAACTGTTGGAGGCTTATTGGAATTATTATGTGATTGAATACATGTGGCTGTGAGGGATTTGTCCAATCCATTCTTTAAAGAGAATAGACTCCGTACAAAACTGTGATGGCAGATATTTGCGGTGACATCCCAGAGAAATTGTTAAAACAAATTCTTGGAGTTTCATTTACAATATTTCTTAACAGGATTCCTGAGTCTAAGTCATGCACAATGTGACCTATTCTAACAACTGGAAGTACATTATTGCGTTATTTAGGAATTTGGGTCCAACACTACTTATTTCCAGAGCGGAGTTCCAGTGGTTGGTAGAAATTTTATTGCCATTCCTTATTAAGACACAATTCCTAAGTTTGCTTATGATGCAAAGATCAGAAGTATATCTTACAGTGAAGAAGATTATAAGTATTTACAGGGAGACCATAGACAGTCGAGTGGTTCAGGGACAGATGATATTGAATGCTGTAAAAGGTGAGGTTATACATTTTGGGATGAAGAAGAGGGAGAATGTATGCTGAATAGTAACACTTTAAAAGAAGAGCAAAGAGGCCTATAACTGGATAGAAGGGTTAACATATATAATTCCTTAAAAGTGGTGGACCGAGCTGTGATGAAAGATAAAGGGCTCCCACCTTTATAAATAGGGGCGTAGAAGATAAAACCAAAGAAGTGATGTATAATATAGTAAGCCTTATGAATCACGAGTTAGGATAGAATATTATGGCTAGTTTGGTGCCATAGAGGGGACACAGAGCCAATTTAAAAAGATGAAACCAAGAATGAGTTGTTTGACCTATAAATAAAGAATGGGTAAGTGGACCTATTTTCAATGGAACGTAGAGGTGCAAGGCAAACCTGATAGAGGTCTTTTAAAAACTATGGGGATTTTTGAGTTTGACAGCAGCGAGAGAGAAATTATTTCCATGTGTTGGTGAGTATAAATTTAAGATAGGAAAAGAGCAAAGGGAAGATTAGAAAGATTTTTATTAGACGAGATTGTTAGGTGTGCCACTTGTATTTGTAGTCCAGTTTGCACACAGCCATGTCCCACAAACAATCATAAAGAGAGTCACCAATTTTTATCTGGAGGATTGTTGATCAGGACCCTAGGAAAAATGTTCTTGTCTTTTCTTAAAGAATATAATCTTTAATGTCCACCTGAGATGGGGCCTTGGTTTAACATCTCATACAAAAGATTTAATTTTTTTTATAATTTGTTGCCGCTTTTGTCCACAAATATACAGTCGATCCACTTTACAGTATGTTCTGGTTAGTACTTTGAGATGTCTTAACAATGTGATAAGCCAATATATCAAATGCAAGGATTATTATAAAGATGGCTCCTCTGACAATGCAACACCCAGCCAGCACTGCATTGGAAATACCCTCATCATCCCACAGCAGAGATTTTTTACAGCGAGTAGTGCATTTTGTGAATTTTACCCGCTCCCAAGAGAACATTTGGATCAACCATGAAAAGTGGCACTTCATGCATCATGTGAATAAGCCCCTCAGGCAACAGGGCAGATGAAGTAAAGAGTAATGTTATTGCTCTTATTATTATCAACAGACATCATGAATCTTCGGTTCTTAGATCTGTTTCCACATTTCTATTTGATGTATCCTGTGGCTTTGAGTTTGGACCTGGAAACACTCTGTTGCTGACGTTAACCATGGGAATCTTGGATGTTTCCAGCTCTCTGTGGATTAGTCACATACCTTACTGTTCCCATTATTTTTAACCATTGTTACTAAGCCGAAGAGGAAGTCTGCTCATTGCCTGACAGAACCCAGGAACTTCTGCTTTCTATAAATACATGTTGCACCAGACTTTCATATGGACCAGATTTGCATTCTTAGCAATCTGATTTCTGCAACAACCGATGCTTAAACATCTCTTCTCTTATACTTTAGTTCAATAATTTAGCACTCTCGCCTTTCAGAAAGTTGCAGGTTCGAAACCCATGTCAGGGTTTGAGATTATTGCCCAGGCTGACACCAGCGCAGCACTGGATCAGCTCTGTCTGGTCGAATGTGCTCTTCTTTATTCACCACAGAGAGTTACAGAATATTAAATATAAGAAAGCCTGGAGTGGGAGAGAGAAAGGCATTTGACCCATAAAACCCGTGCCATCCAAAGTGCATGTACAAATCTCATTGTGAACACTTTCTCCCTCACCTGTTCGAACTTTTATCCTTATATATTTTATATATGTTCACTAGACCAACAAAGTAAGTGAAACAGCACTCCACAGTACAATATCTTCTCATCTTTAACTGTGGACAGTCATGTCTATTAAGTATGTGGTGAGTGTTCTGCCTACTCATTATTTAGGTGGACTTTAAGATCCCATGAGACTTTTTGAAAAATGAGGAAGGTTTATCCTGGTGTACTAGTCTACAGTCTCCCAGATACTTGGAATGCTGTACCTTGGTTGGAGCACTTATCTCGCAAATGAGAGGACCTGGGTTTGATTCCCGAGAAGGACAAAATGTTGGGCAAGTTTCCTTACTCCACACGCCTCTGTTTAAGCAGTAAGTAGGAACCCGGTTGTTAGGCAATTGGTGAATCGCTTTTCCCGGGGTAACAATTCCTTCAAAAAAAATAATGAATTGGCCACT